AAGGGATTAATATATCACGTGCCATGGCGACAATGACTAGATAATTTTTTTCATGTCCACTCTACCAGGTTAAAAATATTAAAATTATCCATTTCCTCCGAGGTGAAGGAATCATCTAAGCTAGAAAAATTTGTTTGTAAATAAAAATTAAGTTTAGTAAATGAACTTGCTGATGAAGAGGTGGTAGATTTTTGCCTCCTAGTTATTAGAAACCAAAATTTTTCTTTTCCACTACTGAAACTAGTTTCAAAAGTGGAAGATGCACTTGTACAAATTGTAGATTTTTTATGCCCTATTATCTCAGATTTATATAAACTATACGTTTCAAATAATAAATTATTAATTTCTTATTTTTTATTTTCAATTCCAATATTCATATTTTCACAATATGTTTCAAATAAAATATCTACACCATCTTTCATAATCCTAGGATTTAATATTGTAGCTAAGAAATAAAGAGGAGAAATGTTCTCCCAATATTTTTTAAATTTATTTTCCACTATTTCAATAGTACTTTTTAATTGTAAATTGTTTCTATTTTTTGCAAAATAATCACTAATCATCATTCATTGATAAGCTAAATTACACAACTAGTTGAGTAATAAACAACCAATAGTTCATTAGTTGCATCATAAAAATGTTTTAAAAAAAATCTTTTATACAAATTGTCATTTCCTAGTCTTCCTCAAATATAATATCATGTGGAATTTTTGCATTATAAAAATCATTAAGAATTTGTTTGTAAGAAGTACAACTTTCTAACATAGCATAAGTAGAATTCCATTCATTTTTAGCATCGAATACAAAATGTTTATATTTTAAGCCATAATTTTGACTAAATATTTAAATTCTTGTTTTCTTGCTCCAAAACTTTTAATATATATAATACAATTTCTAATTTTAGAAATAATATTTAAAGCAACCTGAATACATAAGTTTAAGATGTGACATGCACATTTGATATGAAATAATTTACCATTTAAACATGATTTCAATTGTGATTTTAAAATATATATTGTTGAATTAATCATTATTATTAGCATTATCAAAACTAATAGAAAATTGTTTATTGTCAATTCCATAAGCATGTAAAGTATTTAAAATACTTTCAACATTAGTTGGGCTAGTATGTGGCCATTCAAGCTTAGTAAAACTTAAAATTCTTTTTTGTAAAATCCAGTTTTCATCAATAAAATGACTGATAATACAAATATAGCTTATATTAAATTTAGAGGTCCAAATATAAGAAGTAATTTTAACTTTAGAATTAAGATTTGATAAAATATAAATTAAATTTTGTTTATATGAATACAAAATTTCTAAAGCATCTTATCTAATAGCATCCCTAGAAACCGTTTTAAATTATAGGCTTATACAATTACGTAAAAATCTTTCAAGTTTAGTATCTTAAACTAACAAAAATGATTGTTCAACATGTACAATATATTTTGCTAATTCTTGCCTCATTTTTTCTTGAGAATATTTAAAAGTACTAAAAACCCACGCCCAATTTGTGTTTGTATTGTTTCTTTCCCTTTTTTTTCTTCTTTTTTCTCATGGGAGAGCAAATGTCTTCATAAGTGGCCAGTACCACCCTTGCTACAAGCGCTCAACCTCATCTACTTTAAATATTTTCCAAACTTAGCTAATCAACTTAGTGGCCTTTTTTTTTCTTTCCCCTAGTATTAGTAGTAGGGGTGAAAATTCCGTCAATATCAATAGCATTCATATTGGGAGGAGCCGATCATTTTTTTTAATTAAAAAAATACAAATTAATTTAATTTCACTTACCTGGAATGCCGGTTCGGAATCTCAACTTGGTTTTAATGGTTGAAGCCTCCAAGCCTCCCAAATAATTGAGAATTGGAGAGTAGAGAGAGTATATGAGAATGTATGAGAGATTGAGAGAGTATGAGAAGAGAATTGTTGAATTGGTGAGATGAGAATGGTGGAAGATAGGGCTATTAATAAGAATTGAAAATAATTCAATTACCCAAAATAACCTAAAAATTAACCATTTTTAATTGTTGAGAGGGGTATTTTGTTTATTATAAAATTATTTATCACTTTACCTAAATGCCCCCAAACTAGTTGTTATATAGTTGTTGGGAGCATTGTTGTCATTTTCCCCCCAAAACCAAAATACTTAAATACCCCTCCTATATGGTTGTTTGTAGCTATCGAGGGGGTATTTTTGTAAAAAACCCAAAAAAGCTAAAACTAGCCATTGGGAGGGGTATCCCAATGGCTAGTTTCTCGGGCAGGCCATGCTTGGCTTGCTTTGGGCTTGTGGGTTGTGCCAGCACACAAGTACGTGTTGTGCCGTGCCGGTGGCCCATGGACATGAAACCCCTAGCTTGACATGACCTTCATTTTGTCAAGCTTCAGGTGGCATGACCCATTTTACAACCCTACCTCTAGCCTACTCAAGCATGTGGTAGCATGCCCCTAAAAGTCCAAAAAAATAAAGCTAAAAGAAACAGGAAAAAGCTAGAGGTAGTTAGGGGTAAACAAGAAAAACCAAAAGATTGAACCGACTGAAATTGTATCATAAAATCAATTAATTGAACCGGTTGGTTCAATATTTAAAAAACCGATTATACCGGTTCGATTTTGTTTAACCAAAATAGAAAACTGATGGTTAACCAAACCGACTGGTATACATATATATTTTATGTATTTTTATGTATATTATATATTATATATTTTTTATACATTATAAATTAATAAATATGCATTATATATAAAAATTGATATATATATATATATATATTTTATATAATATATAATATATTATTTAAAATATAATATTATATATATTTCTAGTGTTTTATTATACATTTATATATTTTTTTATAATATGTATTGCAAATTATAAAAAATTGACGAACTGACAAACCAAACCAATGATTAACCAAACCGGTCAACCAACTAACCGATTGACTTCAGTTTAATTTCGGTTATTGGTTTTCCAAAAACTGATAACCTTAATTCGGTTTCAAAAATAATCCCAGGGTTCGATGAGCACCCCTAGAGGTAGTGGAAGAAAAGAAGAATTAGAAAAAAGCATCATTGAAAGCCATGTTAGTCAATCAGTCTGTTGATTGATTAGCTTTCTCATAGATATGACGATAGGTGAGGCCATGATGCAGGAATACACATTCAGCTTTGGACATTCATCAATGGAATTGGGATATGCCTCGTAGAGTGCACCTCACACTGACTTCATAGGCACATCCCACCGTGTACTCTGGGAACATCTCCCATGAATAATAACACAAAAGTGCAGAAAATGTTTTGAATTCATGGTGGGATGTGCCTGTAAGGTGAGGAGTGCTATGTGAGGAGCAGATCTAGAGTTTCATCAATGACCGTTGAGAGGCTGTAGCAGAGTTCACCTGGTTTTTTAAACTGTCGATAACAAGTTTTGAATCTCCCTCGATGCAAGATCACAAAATCTCAAAAATTAAGCACAACCTTATGGGCTTCCCATGCCACCCAAGAAATCTCCATGTGAGAGCATGCCGTGTTGCAAACCTTAATATTAAAATGGAATGGGATCTGCTCCTCACACTTGGACGCCTCACATACACATCCACCGTGCATTGGAAATATCTCCCATAAAAAATAACTTACAAATACGGAAGATGTTTTCAATACATGATAGGATGTGCGTGTGAAACGCCCTAAGTGAGGAGCAGATCCGGTCTCTATTAAAACCCACTAGGGTCCATGCCAGCCTTAAGCAGTATTGCTGTGCTAGGCTTGGGTGCCATGTATATGAAAGGGAATGCCCATTTTTACTGAATCTTTGAGTGGTTCCATTCTTTTGTTGCTAGAATTCTTAAATCTAATATTAATTAAACGGTAGGGTTAGGTGTCCAATATCATAGCCAAGAAAATGACAACATTAATTTCTTTATACTCTTGGTGATATGATATCACATGTCAGGCACAATCTGTATCTTGACTGTTATAGCCTCAAAGATGGCCAGATGGGGCATCAAGCATGGTGTTAGATGAGATACAAACCCCACATAAGAAACATGGGACCCAAGTAGTAAATGCCCTTTAATATCACCCCAGGGCCCAGGGCCCAGGCCCAGCTGTTCATTCCTCTCCTCCTATCAAACTTAAATATATGGTCCATTTTTCAGTATATTAAAACCTTTTCAAGTTTGGTTTTTCCGGTTTATGCCATACAACAGGGCTTCAATCAGTGACAATGATGACTAGGTCTTGCACTTGATGTGATTGGATTGCAAACTATAACCTATTTGGCTGTTTATAGGGAGATTAGAATTGGTTAATAGAAAATCAGGTCTGCGGTAAAAGGCACTCCATATGATATCTGTGGTCAATGTGTTGTATAGATGGTGGGGTTCCCCCTTGAGTTGAGTGTCTTAAAATGCAATTTTCTTATCACATTTATCATTTTGGTATCGGGCATCTACACTCGACTTGAATTAATTTGACAGATTATGTTTTTTTTAACCCAATTCCTAACTGGGTCGGTCCGACTATGATACCGGAAAGTCATGACATCTGAAAATGTGTTAGTTACCCAATTAATAGGTATCTTCAGGAATCAGGATTCACCGGGGAGGGTGATTCGTCAAACAAACTTCAAAGCTCTTCCCTTCCGATATCATACTTTTCCGGTATCATAGATTTACGCTGAGCGATGATGATGATTGGTTCTCGCCTTGGACGAAGACAAAAGGTTGGGTTTGGACTTTGGAGTTGGAAAGCGGGGAGGGTCCAATCCGGTCGATTTCCGTGTTTCCCACCATGGTAAGTGCCAAGTGGCACAAGGTTCCAAGTTTGAACTTGAGGAGTGGTGCTTGAATTTTTTTTTTTTCGGACGTTGCTACCCATGCGCCTTGGTGCGTAATGCGCATGTCCCAAACTCCCAATGGCGTTTGCGTGCACATCAAAAATGAATCCCTGCGTATTGCGCACCGTGCGTGTTATATAACAATGCCTTTCAAGATACTAAAGTGCCACCGAATTTCACGTCCACTTTCTCGCTCCCTTGTCTCCTTCGGAGTTCGGTCTCTCTCTCCGTATGCTGATACATTGCTCCAGCAATCCAGCTTGCAGGCCCGAGTACTCTCTTTCTTTCTTTCTCTCTCTCTCTCTCTCTACGCTGTCTCACCCCGTTAGGGTTCGTTAATGCTCTTTGTATGCTCTGAACATCTGAATTTCGGCATATCTGAGGGCAAATAAGCGATTGAGAACTGGATTTGAGTTGCAGAAAATGAACCTCAGTGAGATTTCCTCTGGGTGTTGGAGATAGGTTAGAAATTTTTTAGGGTTTCTGGAAAAAAGCTCGTCTTTTTATCTGATTCTGAGTGAAGATGCCAGCTCACGGTTTTTCTTCGAAATCGGAGAAGAACGAAGCCACGAAACAACCGCGCAGAGATCCTTATGAGGTCCTAGGCGTCTCTCGCAACTCCACGGATCAGGAAATTAAGAGTGCCTACCGAAAAATGGCTCTTAAGTAAGCTAATTTCTAGTTTTTTTTTTTTCTTTTTCTTTTTCAGTTAGAGATAAACCTTTACTTGGGTGATTTGCTTTCCTTTTTCTAGGTCATGTAGTTTTTTCCTTCTACTTAACTTTGTGTCTTTTATTGATTCTGTAATTGTTTGGGAAGATTCTGGATATGAAACTTTCTGTTCTCTTTGCTGCCTTGTTGAATTATTTCAATTTTAATCTTCTTGTTGCTGGGATGGCGGAAACTGTCTTCTACATGACATCACGGCATCGTGCCAAAAGTAGTTGTCTTATATACTATGAAGGGAATGCCATAGTTCACTGATTCTATGGTAATCGTTTAAACAATTAAACCCAAAGAATATTTTGGCTCTACTTGTATTTGTGTTGTCATGGAATCTAACAGGGTGAGGGGAAGGCAAAAAGAACATCGGTTGATGTAGTGAGAAATGGTCCAAGGAATGGTGGAGGAAGAATTATCATATACATTAGCCAATGCCAAATAATTGCAATATGGGTTAGTTGGGTTGAATAGTTGAGTTGGAAATAGCAATAAATTATCTACTGATGCTCTCAGCGCATAATTGATATTCTCTACAGTTTTGGTAGATTCTGGTGTATGAATTATTTACCGGTGCTGTTATGAACTTATGATACATTTTTTCAGGTACCATCCTGACAAAAATGCAAATGATCCCAAGGCAGCTGATATGTTTAAGGAGGTCACATTTTCCTACAATATTCTATCTGATCCAGATAAACGGCGTCAGTATGACACATCTGGTTTTGAGGTAAGGTCTGTGCAGGTCCTGCAGGAACATAATTAGGTTGACTGTTAATCAGGGTATCTGGGTTTGTGTCGCTTATTTTATGATGTATATACTCTGGCATTTGGAGATCTCCGGTTATCTTTTTCTGTTGACTGTTGTCTGCATTATGCTTTTCCATAGTTTATTCATTGTGAATCTAGACATGCTCTGCCAAAATTTCTTTTGTTTATTGTGTTAACAACTGAAGATTAACGTAACCAGGATAGTGCATCTTCTGAAGATTGCTTGTCTTGGGTGGTAGATGCCATACATAAGTGAAAAATACCCTAGAAAAAGAAATCCTATGCACAAAAAGTAAGCTATGTAGTTTTTTTTTGGCTTCATGGGGCTACACAACCGGGGGTAGCCCATCCCCCTCCCTTAACCCCTCTGGTGGCAGTGGGATTTGATCCCAGGTCTCTATTCGGATGAGTCAGAGATCCTACCAACCGAGCCACCATCAGTTGGTAAGCAAGCTATGTAGTTTCTTACATTTGTTGTGGTTCTGAATTTTCTAAATCTTCATGACTTGGTGCCAGACCACTTATCTGTGTTGGGTATATATTTACTAACATGAATTTTCTTTTCTCTGGACTGATATATGGTAGCATTAAAGTCATTGTTGAAAACTTATGTTAATGATTCTTGCCCAGGCTATTGAATCAGAAAGCCAAGAGCTGGAGCTAGATCTTTCAAGCCTGGGAGCTGTGAATACCATGTTTGCTGCACTCTTTAGGTAAGTTCATTCTAAATGAAGCCCTGCAATATTATTTCTGCAGAAAGGTCTTCTGATACTCATAATCCTTGGCCAAAAGTTGATGTGCTTACTGATATTCATATTTTTATGATACAACAGTAAGCTTGGTGTGCCAATTAAGACTACTGTGTCGGCAACTATTTTAGAGGAAGCATTGAATGGACTGGTTACTATTCGTCCTCTTCAGCTGGGACAACCTTTGTTTAAAAAGGTAAATCATTGTTAGCCTTTTTCCTTTTCTGTTGTTAAGCTATTATGTGAATCTAGTGACATGCTTGAAGTTTTCTCATGTTCTTTTCACAGGTAGAGAAACAATGTGCTCACTTCTATTCTGTAACAATAACAGAACAGGAAGCACAAGCTGGATTTGTGTGTAGAGTGCAATCACCAGACAAAAGTAAATTCAAGGTTTGTTCAAAGTATAATTGCATAAGAGATGTTTTATACAATAACATCAAGAGATAGAGATATACAGATTGGACAACTTTGTACTTCATTAAGATTTTGATAGAATGGGAGCTGAATCTGCTAATGTGATGTTCAATACCTTGTTATTTTTGTGTTCTACCTATTTTCAGAACACACCACGACGTCTGGGCATTCTTTTAATCTGTTTTTGATTCTGGAATGAGCAATCTGTGGTTCTACAACTCAAACTAGTGCAGGCTTTTGAACATGATTAGTTTTTATGCTCCCAACCACACCATACTGTTCTAGTTTTATCTAGTATTTGATTCAGCACATCTCACCCAAAAACCAACACATATTAAATCCTGACATGTTGAAGCACTCCACACTACACCATGCATAACACTACTAGTCTACTAGAGGTATGCTCTGTTTCAAAACATGTGGTTTTTACTACACCTTAGGGGGCTTAGTGGTTTGAAACACACCACACCTATTTAAGACCACTCTATGGGGCACCCCCTTAATTGTCGGCTATAAATTGAGTCAAAACAGTCCAAAGCATACATTTATTTTGGTCCATGTTACTTAACTCCAAAATTGTGGATTTGGGTATATACCGTCAAAATTGAGTGAAATTTATAATTTCTTGTCACCAAAAACATTTTATTTTGGACCATTACAAAAGAGGTCATTTGTCTCCCAAATATTAAAGCCATATATTGGCTTCAAAACCCTGAACTATGAACTGCTGAAACACTTGTACTGCCCTACATTTAGATCTAAGTTCATTCAATTGATCAGTTAAATACCATGCTATTTGATTTGGTCATCTACAAATATATGATGCCCACTCAAAGGCAGCTATTAGATTGGGTAGCAATCTTACATGTTCAATGGGCATTGATGGGACCCAAATAATGGGAGCATCAGATTCAATTTATGCAGTCCAGGTTGTAAACCCTACTTTATCATGTTATTCGCAAAACTTCTTTATCTCCAAGATGTCATCTTTTTCATGTTCTGAGTTTACCATTAATGAACTATTATTAGTATCTAGTGACCCAAAACTTACTTCGTTTTGGGAATGACCAATTTTGTGGTACCCACAAGAATTCTCTTACTTGTTTTAAAACGATGTCTATAAGTAAATAAAGAAGGCTTTTCATGCTTTTTTTTCTTATGGGGTTTTTCCTATAGCAGTGGACTGACTGTATAATATTTAGTTTGCAAACTTTACATGGTTAGCCTGTCACTAATAGAATTGATTTATTTGCAGCTTTTGTACTTTGAGCAGGAAGAGAATGGTGGATTAAGTCTTGCATTACAGGTAAAGAATTTTCTTCATGGATTTTTTTTTATAATCAGAAGAACCTGCTTCATTCTTGTGAATGAACTATAGTTCTTTAGCAACTTCTCTAAGATTGAAGATATGAAATTATCATATAATGCTTTAATTGTTGATGGACCAATTATTTATACTTCATGCAATCTTTTGCTAGTTTATCAATTTTAAACATTTGGAAATTTGTTTATGATGGATTGAATAGAGTCAAGATTAAAACCCTAGTTTAGTTCCATTATGGCTTGTCACATGTAATGGGCAAGGATTAAAGTATCGGTAACGGGTATCGTATTGGACCACTTGGATACGGATACGGATACGGATACGGATACAGATATGCTTTGGAAACACATGGATACGGATGAAAAAAACATGGAGACGCTTGGATACATCAGGAAATGCATATAAATTCCATAAATATATTAATAACATTACATTTAAGGCTAAAATAGTCAAAATTAATGTATAAATGCATAGGAAATGTATATTCTAATGATATTTGTGAATAAATATATTACAATTAATATAGCGGGATGCATAGAAATCATACAATTTTTATTGATAATGTATCAATCTAGAGTCCTAAAATATATTATATAAATTTTCACAAATTAATACATGTACAAAGCTATTATTTATTTTCAATTGAAGTTCATGTCACAAAACACATGCAACTATTATATGTAATTATTATGTCAATTGTTTTTATTTTTATATTTTAACATTTTAACATTAACTAAATAATCAACTAAAAATTAATTCTCAAATGTTTGGTAAACAATAAGAATGTTATTATAAAATGTAATTAAAATATCAGTTAATAATTAAAGTAAACAATAAAAATGTTATTATAAAATGTAACTAAAAATTAAAGTATCGGCGCATATTGACCGATACAATACGATGCAGTCCAATACTGATGCGTATCACTCCGATACGGACGATTCAGAGGATACATACCTGTTTGTAGCGTTTCCCGTATCTCTTATGACCGATACCGATACGATACGCCCCTTATCGGGCGTATCGTGTCGATATTTAAATCCTTGGTAATGGGTATTCCACTGAACTGGGATTTAATACCATCTTCATCCTCAAGTTGGGTTGTTAGGTGGTGAGACCCTTCAGGTCTGATGCTGCTGTTACAGGTAGGGGTGCAACTTGGGCTGGATTGGGTTGGGGTTAAATTTTCAATGGCCCCAAACCCCTAACCTGCTTTTGATGTAGCTGAAATTCTTCAAGTTATGGGATCATCAGCAAGCTAAACCCCCCAGGGCTCAAGTTTGCAGAAGCCAAAGTAAATAAATGAGTGAATCACATGAACACATAGAATTAAGAGCATCTGTCCACGTCATTCTTCAGGACATCTCCTTTTCTATCCAGGTTCTATTGTAGTTTGGATGGGTCTATCTAACCCATCTAGGGTGGAATTTATATAATTAAACTTATTTTTCATGGCCAACTTGTATGACAAACCTAGCTTCTTGGTGCAGGAGGATAGTGCAAAAACAGGAAAAGTTACATCCGCTGGGATGTATTTTCTTGGTTTTCCTGTTTACCGGTTGGATCAAACAGTCAACTCGGTAATCAAACAGCATTTTAAATAATTTACGAGTTAGCTTTGCTTTTCAAACACTGCTCACTTCTCCCATATTGTTTTGAAAATTTTGGTGAGGGTCCAGATGGCAGCTGCAAAGGATCCTGATGCAGCCTTCTTCAAAAAGTTGGATGGGTTTCAGCCATGTGAAATAACTGAGCTAAAAGCCGGCACTCATATATTTGCTGTTTATGGTTAGTCAGTCTTTGACTTCCTATGTGCACTTAAGGCTACCATTTTTCTTGTTTCTGGATTTTGATGTACCTAAACCAACTTTCCATATTCTATTACATAATTTCAGGTGACAATTTCTTCAAAAGTGCAAGTTACTCAATAGAGGTTCTTTGTGCTGCACCATTTTCAGAAGAAAAAGAGAAACTAAGGGCTGTGGAAGCCCAAATTCTGAGTAAGAGGGCAGAACTCTCCAAGTTTGAAACAGAGTACAGAGAGGTTTGGAGTAGGACTTATTTATCCCCTGAATAAATAATTATTTCTCTTTGGGCTTATTTTGATACTGGTACAACAGGTTCTGGCACGATTTACGGAGATGACCAATAGATATACCCAAGAAATGCAGGCGGTGAGTTCATGCTTTCTGATTAATTCCATGGCTTTAAACTGGGTGGTTTCAGTTGAAGTGGGAGTCCCATATGTCCTGATTTGCCCCTCCTTGTCACATTCATCACTCTTCAGATAGATGAGCTTCTGAAGCATTGGAATGCAATTCGGGCTTCTTACTCCACTTCTCCACCTCTAAAGCGTAGTTCAAGTAGTAGCAAGATTAGAGGTTCCTTCAAGGAGTCAAACGGGGAAGAAGATCATCAACCAAAAGATAAGAAGCCTATGACAAAGGATAGGCCAAAGAAGAAGAAATGGTACAATATACACTTGAAGGTGGACAAAAGGAAGCCTTGCTGAATAGGTAGGAAATTTAACATGCCTTTGTGTATTGTTTATTGTGTTTCCTCACATTGAAGATTGAACATTGACAAGAAGGTTAAGTTTTATCGTATAGGTTTTGTAATCTGATCGAACAACATAGGGGAGATTTCACAAGCAGCTTCTGGGTGACGATTCCACTGTACCTGTGCACATTTGCTTTTCTGCTGCAGTGGACATGGATTTGTAGCATAGTGGTATGTATGAGACCACAAGATTGTTTCCATCTTGCCCAAGCCTGCATGGATAAACAATGGAGTAAAGGCAAAACATTCTAGTGCAATGTTTTCACTACTCCAGCATGTAAAGGATAACAAATATTTTTGTTATAAAAAGTTTCCATTTTCGTTGCTTTCTGTTATTTGTTCTTCCTTCCTCTCCCCACCCCATTTATTACCATACCTGATGATCGTATCAGGACCTGCTATGAATATAATTGTCATGGTTCTTTCATGTAACTTTGTGTGTACATTTCTTTTAATCCCCCCCGAGTCAATTGCCAAGGAGGGGCCGTCCACCGAGGGGGCCAGTGGAGGTCTGCAGAATGAGAAGATGTGGAGCTGATGATTATGTTCGTTACAAAATTGAAATTGTTTACACTAAAACAAGGCAAAGATTGATTGCTTTCCAAACCCCACATGTAGCAGCCTGGAAGGATAAAGTTGTAAAAAAACAAGGTGTCCATGGGACAGAACACTCTCAGAAGCGTCTTCGCTTCGCTTCTATACTTGACCGTAATATCATATGCCACCTTCGGTGGTAGTAGAAAACTAGAAATAGGACCCACCTTTGACGATGACGACAGAGAAAAGCGGTGGAAAACTGAACATATTCTAGGTTGTCCTGCAATCGTGTCAACATTTTTAACAGGAGATTAGGTGCACCGTCATTGTTATCAGTCATAAAAAGAAAAGAAAAAAGGAACGCGGTCTCATTTGCCATCCACATCCAGAATGCAATAAGAAAAAAAGGTGGTGCATGCCATTGGTCAACATAAATATATGAAAAATATTTCTATTTCGACTTGAATACATGTTATACTAAAGTGCTAATATGACAGTAATTACGTTACTTGGGCTATAAAACTAAATGGTGAATCGAATTGGGGCGGAAGATATTGTGTTGTGGTTATAGATCAACAGATCATCATCCTATTCCTAATTTCCTATCAATTATATCAAATCCATTCCAATTCTATAAATAAATAAAAAAAAAACTAATATTCTTCATCAACTCTACCATGACCACGCTCTTTACTTTTTAATATACCAAACTCCACGCGGCTCTGCTGGCGCTCTTTATTTGTGTGGCGACCTCTGCGCGGCCTCATCATACATTTTTCATGGTGGTGATGAGTTTGGTGGCCAAAAATCAAAACCCTCGTGAATAAGGACAGTCAATCTTAAATGGATTTCAATTCATACATACTCTCGTCTCCAACATGGCTGGCCGATGCCCCCCATTTCGACCTCTTTTCATTTGCTTGACGCACCACTGCTTCTGCTACTGAATGAGACCCCCCCTTGGAGTTTCCTTGTTACTCTTTCTTCCTTTACATCCGGGATCCAGACTAGAGTCTTATAGAGACAGCAACATAGCATCTTTCCTTTAATTTCCTGATAACACAAACACTTGGTGCGAAAACCAATACATAAAGTCCATTAGAGGGTATAGTCCCGAGGATAATGAGAGGAAAACTAAACACTTGAATAAATAGGAAAGAATGAGAGAGAGAAATTACTAGCATCAACCAGATACTGAGATGAAAACTGAAAATCGACGCCATTTTCATTATTACTTTTATTTTCTGATCAAGTACCGATCTTCTGCCCCCCCTCCCTCTCTTTCTCTTTCCCCACCTACTGGCATTTACATTGGCAATCCGACATAAAACTTAAAAAAAAAAATAGAAGAGAAGATTATTACAATGTACATGTAAATATGATATGATTACATTTACATGCACAGCTCTATATATACTCAAAACAAAATCTATATAAATAGGAACCTCAAAAAACACAACCAACACTACCATAAACAACAACAAATCGTAAGAAAAAGAATTGAATTATCGATCGTTGCGAAATTCTCCCTCATCTTCTCTCTCGGTTTTCTTTCTTCTTCTGGTCCATCGATCGTCATCGTTGCCAATGGAAATTATATCAAGTATCGGATTAAATGATCAACTAAAAAAAAAAGAAAAACCAAAGGTTGAACTTGAACCCAATTAAGTTTTGATGATGTTGAAGGCATCGCATCTGCGGCGGATTTCCCCCCAGCGTCCCGTCTTCACGCCATACATACTCAGCTTCTCCATAGCATGAGAGAATGCCTGGAAGAATGCCGTTTGGTTGGTCGCGTAGGCTTGCACATAAGGCCTTGTCCTCGCATCCACCACCAAGGTGTTGTCCGACTGCAACAGCCCCAACCCTCTCTGCAGGTTCTGGTAGTACATGTTGTCGAATTTGTTGGGCGTCATCACGTCGTTGAATGCCGACATTGTTGGGTCCCGCTGATAGTTGGCACAGGCTCTCCTCAGCCCCTCGGCGTACCTGGGATTGATGGAGGGATCGTAAGGCGAGGTCGTGCTATAGTTGTAGATCCTGCCCGCGAACTCCTTGCAGTGGGAGAATCCGATGGTGTGGGCACCTACCAAGGCCACCATTTCGGGCACGGAGAACCCCTTGGATGCGAAGAATCTGATCATGTCGGAGGCGGAGGATCTGGAGTTGGGCAAAAGGACTCGGCTGGCTTTGGAGATGAGTCCATCCTTGCGGCCCAACCGAACGGTGTAGTAGGGGCCGCCGACCATGACGACCAAATCACGGGCGGCCTGTGCCAGAATATCGGCGCAGGAGACGATGCCGGGGCAGGCCAGCTCCAGGGCAGTCTTGGCGCGGACGATGAGATCGAAGGCGTCCCCGGGGAGGGAGAGGTTGATGTCGCTGTCGCGTTCGGCTTTGTTGAAGACATTAGAGGATATGAGGACGGAGGCATCACAGCCCTCGACCATACAATCGTGGAAGAAAAGGCGAAGGGTGCCTGCGGCGGTGGTGGGGCTGGTGATTTGCTTGTTGGTGACAATGTCTCGCACGATATCTTGGAACCTAGGGCATGCTCTCTGGTAGTAGTTGGTGGTCAGCCTGGAATATGCGGGTGAGACCGTTAACGATGAAACGAATAGGATGGCGAACAGTAAAGACGGCAACGAAGCAACCCCCATTGTTGCTGCGTCACTTTATTAATCCTCTGTCTAGTAAGGAGGGTGAAGCAGAGCAGTTGCACAGCAGGAGCAGGGGGGATGGAATGGAAGCAGATCTGATTGGTTTTAGTAGAATGGAATGGAAACCAGGTTGGAGAAAACAACAGTTTCAGAGAGGGGGGACAATGGGAGAGGGAGTGGGGATCGGAGGCGGAGAGGGGTTTTAGCCTTTTAGGGAGGGAGCCAGGGAGAAGGGGTTATATTTCAGAGAGAGAGAGAAAGACTGTGAGATAGGAGTGAGATGCTGGGTTTTTTTTTGTGTTTGATTTTGTTTTAATTAATAAATAATAATTGATTGGTTGCGGGTTTAGCCGGGGGTACTGACGAACGAGGATCTCCATTCAATTAGAGCAGGGAGAGGCGGAGAGCCGCTCCATGGATTGCGCTCTAGTGGTAGTGGCCTAGTGGGTAAGCGCGTCACATGGTTTGTATCTTCCTACTCGGTTACTCCCTAGAACTAACTACAAACAAATAATTCTTGTTTGGAGTTTGGACTTTGTTTAACTTAAACTTTGCCCCCATTACAAATAATTAATTACACATCTTTCTATTTCCGTAATCATATCTCAATGTTGTAGATTCCTTGGTGGACACTGGAAATTGGGGTGCATATTTTAACGGTCTGATCTGATTGGGTTGTTAAGGTATGTTTAGATTCCAATCTGACGCGAGAGAGCATTGCCTCTCCATGTTTCAACTTTCAATCAATGTTGAAAAAGCGAAAAAAAAAAAAAAGGGATTACAGGCCCAAATTAGCAGTGACGCGTGTATCAGTAGAATGGAGTGCGCGACTGCAATGTACAGCAGCAGAAGCAGCGTACGTGGGACACACGTCGGCAGTAAAGGTACAGGCCGATGTTGAGATTCAGGCTTCAGCCCCACTACTCCTACTGTGTCGTCTGAGCACTCAGCAGTCAGCACAACTAACTTAAGGTGAAGTCAATAAATCTTAAGATTAGATGTTAAGCTTTGAGTTGAGACTTGAGACATCTCGTGGATCGGGAGATGTACGTGATGGAATGATTAGAACCGTTAGATCTATATTGAATTTTTAATAGTTCAAAGAGGAGAGAGGCAATTAAGAGTTTGCACTTTGCAATGCTGTACTAGATCTGTGGATCGAATTATTGAGATTCGAGTTTAGTAAGGTGTGTAATTAAACCAAAAGAAAAACGTTAAATTAATAAGGTGGGACGTGGGAGTGGGATACCCTTCTTCCACCACCACCGGGCACCGGGCACCAGCTGAGCTTGCAGCTTATGTTGCGTAATATAATATATTTGTTGAGTTGATGCTACTTGTATAGCGAATAGCGATGGGTATAGAGGCGTGGGGTCTACATAGATGATACAACCGTTAGTAGCTAGCGGGCCATACCCATACGTGATAGATGGTTCACCTTGCACCGTTGTAAATCGTAAGGGTGGACAGGAACCCGATAGGATACCCTCCTGCTGGTACTACTGGCCAGCTGCTACATCCCTCGAGATTTGATTCCATTTTATTATTATTAGATATTACTGTTTAGTGTTTACCATGGAAGAGAAGATACCTGCAAAATGCATGTGCCTCCTCAATCAAATTAATTACCACTCACTAAACCCTTGCTTATATTTCCGGTATCCACATTGTTATTTTTATTCAGTCTCTGTACCCTCTGTCACTCTCTCTCTCTCTAAATATTACAATTTACAAGGGCGTGTGCCGTGACGTAACTCGTAAGGTGAAGTGGTGAACAACCCCGCCTCTCTCTCACTCTCCGTAAATACTAAGTACTGAATAGGTTGTAAAGAATTTTAAAGCCTGTAAAGCATATGGTATAGATAGATAAATAAATAAACGTCCGTTGAGTAAAACAAAAAAACTAAAGAGAGACGGAATTAGAGCCATATTTCCGCAAGAAATAAAGAATCCGGGAAGGGGGAATTGCAGTGGTTAACTAGAGTGTCAATCGCGACGGATCTCAAGGGTTAGATTCTCACGTTTGTGTTTGTCTCATTTGTGCCATATGTCTACGTTGTGACAAGCAACTCCAGTATTATTTCATGTATGTTTTGTTTTGTTTAGGCATGAAAGAGGCTTTTGTAGGTTGTAATTGTACAGCTGTTCTTCAAAGAGAAGAATGATTTACTGAAAAATTTGTTTCTTTATGATGAAATTTGGTTACATATGCAAAATGGTTATGAGAATATAATTTCTTCTTTACTTTTTCAAGAAAAAAAAAAAAAGGAAGTGGGTACTAGTTGCAAACCTCCAAGAAGAGATTAAGAATATGATTTATGATTTTCAATATATAAAGAGCAGTATTTATTTAACAAACAAGGATAAACCGCATGCATTTAATGGGCATGGCCTCCTCCTCCTCCCCCACGCCTCTATGGTTATATTGACTCATGAATCGCCACTTTACTCCTTATAATCACTCAGCCAGTCAGCCTTGGGTTTGGGAAAGGGTATACACTAGAGACTGTCGGTGTCGGTGTAGGTACTGGATAGGGAAGGGGCCTACTCCTTAAGCACTCGGCAGGAGTATAAATGCAAAATCTTATATTCTAATTTATATTTATATTCCTTCCGATCTGAGCCTTAAAACACTCAGCCTTAGGCTTTGAAAATTTTGCTGTAATCTGTTTTCTGTCCGCGCCTAAAATGATGTCCTCTTCACCTCATATGGTCGGTCATATTCCGGATTTACGATCTCAAACAGTTACCAAAATCCATGCGCGTCAGCAGGTAGAGGGAGTTGTTAGGGGCCATATCTGAGCCCAACTTAACCTCCACTCGCTCGAACTCGAAGTAAGTACATCCAAAGTCTGTATGTCCGTTCATTTTGCTCAACCAAACAACCATATGAATATTTGTTTATTCGAGTTTGGTTCGTCAGAAGAATATTATGCTTGAACTCAATTGAGTTAAACTTGGTATATGTTTGGCATATGATGAAGGTGGATTTAGCCCTCTAATGACATTGTGATACATGATATCTCGAAATATTTGAACGACACCCAGATGCTTCATAAGTGATGATTTGGAGTCCTAGATCGTAGTTCGTCTTCGCCTTGACCTAGCGATTTGCCTTTACTGCCAACCTAGCGACTTCAACCACAATTTAGGCCGGCTAGGAGCACCTCGTCTAGGGTTGACCTGTAGCACCTCGTCACTTGTCTATGTGACCTTGACACGAGGAGCGAACTCCCTCGAGGGCTTGCCGATCTGACTGAGGTCCAGGAGGCGACTTGCGAGTTGTGCTCGCCAACAAATTTGGTGTGCATATCCCGACACTCCCAAGTTTCTCGAAAGTTGGCACATGTACCGAGTGTTCCGGAGGATGGCCAACATGCGTGGCGGTTACCTCCGGGGATCTCGGACCGGTTAAGCAACCTCCTGGAAAATATTGGATGCGGTGCGTGAAGCCCATGCCAAACAAAGCCTATATTAAGGCACCAACCCCAATGACACAAAAATGTATGCGCGATTTAGTGCATTCTAGCTCTCCTTGTTCTCAAACTCTTAACTCGCATATACTATTACTGATTTAAGCATCAAAGCGATATCGCCAAGTTAGCCACCCCAGGTTCTCTAATACCTCGATTTCTTTGTAGTTTGAGCGACCTACTTGGCAACAGGTGTTCGAGTTGCCCTATAGCTAGGAGCATCCAGATCGTGCACCATCAGCATTGATGTCGCAAATGTAATACCGTTTTCTGATGTATGGATTGGAAGCACCGTTTTCTGGAGCAACAACAACTTTTTTGTTTGGTACCAATGCTCCAAGAAACATTTTCAGCACTGGTACTCATTATCCAATGCCACATCACTGCCCTGTTGGTAGCAACGAGCTGCATCTCCAGGAAACGCCAAATTTGGGGGTGCTCCAAGCCATGCCTTCCCGATTTCCGAGGCATGATTTAGAGCACCGTTTTTTATAAAAAAATGGTTCTAAACAAATATCCATTTCCTAGACCATTGTTTTTTCTAGTGTGGCGCTGATGTGGTGCCATTTTCTAGAACAACGACAACGATGCCAAACAGAGACTTGGTGTATCAAGGTTTTAAAAACCTGTTTGGAATCAGAACTGTTTTGGCCAACAGTTTTTAGGTCAGTGATTTAACTGCCCGGTTTGAATAGATGATCATTTTCAACTTAAAATTAATTAAAATAAAAAACAGTTAAAAACCATTAAATGAATTGACAGTTCGATCGCTTATTTCAGCAAATCAACAATTTTTGGCAAATACCAGGATAAAGATGAAACGGAACCGATTCGATTGCTGGATGGGTCCCATGTCAACTGGTCTGACCGTCCAAACTAATACGATTTTCAAAATCATGGGAAAAATAAAAAATAAAAAATTATATATAATTAAAAATATTTATATATAATATAAGTTCAATTTAAGTTAAATATTCAAATTCGACTCGATAAACAAATAAAACTACGTATTAGATTTAAAATCAAATAAAAACTTGGTTTAAACTGAAACTAATTGATTTTTTTACGAGCTAAACTCAAATAACTTGTGAAAAACTAGATTCATTTCATCCCAATGTAATGCTAAAGTTAAATATAGAAGAGTATTATCGGGCTAGAACACCATCCACACACAATTGAATGTTTTTTTGCCGAAAGAAATAAAAGAAGCAGCCCAATTGAGATTGCAGTTGCACTTGTGAATCTCTCTCTCCTCTCTCTCTCTGCTATCATTTCCTCCATTCTATGTGGGGATATGAGTTTTGTCAACATCCAATGATGATGCCAGCAAAGCCAAGAGAGATTGTTGGGGTAAAGGCCTCCAACCTCCGTGTGTTGTACGCATGAGATGAGATGAGACTGATATGGGGTTCATAATAAATGTCTCTGAATTCTTACCTGTTTAATTTGTTTGGCGGTGGAAAATGTATGTAACCGTTAAAGACAAAATAATTATAACTACACTGCACAATCACGCAAATCCAAAGAGTGCTCCCCAAACGAGGCTGGCGCTAAATAAATATGTATAATATTTGAGGGAAAAGCAGTGGGACGTGACGATCAAATTGTGGATCTACACAGAATATCGACTAATGCCAACTATTTACCAACGCTGTGTACGTAGAGGGACAATGGATCTCAATGTCACAAAAACCGCCAAATTATTTGGGCCCGGATCCATCATATCAATATATGCATGCTTGATGCTTCTGCATTTATAATTTCACACAACACCTTGCGTTACATCCACGTTGCAAGTGAACAAGTGGCAACTCATGCGGCAGAGTTGGGTTAAACTGTAGATCGAGTCGGGCGTCAAGTAGCTTCCATGATCCATAACCACGTGCCCGTTTCATTGTCCCACCAAGAGCAATAACA